CACGTGTCACGGGAGGGAAAATGGCCGCGGATCCTGTCCGTCAACCGATCCGGCGTTTGCGAACAGAGCTGTTCGTGACCCAAATTGGTCGTGAACAGAAGCGTTCGTGACCCGAGGTACCACTGTATGCATTTACATTTTAGTTTAAAAAGGGATTATATTTGATCTCTTCCTTTTTTGTAATAACATTTTCTTAGGTCTGTCTCTTAAGGGAGGGCTGAAATCCTCTAGCTGCATACCTCTAAGCTAGGTACCCAGGAGGTTGCATAATAGGCATTATTCCCATTTTTGCTTTCATTTTTACCCTTTAATTGCCAGAAAGGCAGTACAGGGTGTGATAGCCCTGTTTCTCTAGGGCAGTGTTTCTCAACGTTGGCAACTTTAAGATGTGTGGACTGGGGAATTCTGGGAGTTGAAGTCCACACATCTTAAAGTTGCCAGGGTTGAGAAACACTGCTCTAGGGGGAGAATGCCAGGTGAAACACTCTTGTAAGATAGTGTTTGGTGGTGAGGAGTTACTTCAGTGTTACCTGAAGAAGGCAAGGCTAGGTGTGAGGACCCAGATGGCTTCTGGATGTGGAGGTTTGAAACTTCTAACCTTCTATTCTACAAACTCAGTTAACTGATTTTTCTGCAGCCAATAACTGGGGGGGGGGAGTTAATATGGCAATAAAAACAATAGTATTTTAAAGCAGTAATAGTGGCCTATGACCCAAGACTCAGGTAAACTGGAATTTTATTTTAAGCATCTTCAGACTCACAGAGTAGGTGGCAGGCCACTCCACAAAGATCGAATTCCCTCGTGCCGTATTATCTTCACAAAAGCATCCTAAAGTGAACCAAGGGGAAGAAAGTACAGTCATGAAGAAAGAAGTTAGCATAAAAAAACCCTCTGAAGTGCTTTGAAACACAGACACATAGTTTTTGCATGTCCACTCCAGTTCTGCCAAACAATGAGCTGAAACAGTGAACTACATTTTCAGTAATCAAGAACTTCATGCAGGTGGGTGAGTGGGCTGGACAAGAAAAAAATATCATTCTTTTTCTGGCATTCCACTGCTTTTCTCTGTTAGCTGCTCCAATGTTGAAAGCAATTTTTAAAATCCACCTTCTGCAAGTCTATTATTTTGCATTTTCATGCTCCCCTCTGTGGCCTGCTTGGAAACAGGCCTCAGTAGGATGATAAAAGAGGTATATAGTATAACTTTTATGAGCTTATTTGCCAGACTATTAAGTAGAATCACCTTTAAACTAGTTGTTCTACTGCACACAAACATATGTAAAGAACTCCAGGGAAGTCTTCTTTCAAGAAGAAGAAAGAAGCAGTTTTGGGAAGAACACTATGAACATGTAGTGCAGGAGAGGTACATAACCCTTTTCTTGTAGAACCTTTACTGCTCCAAACCACAACCTCCAGAATCTATATGTTTTCCATTTCTATTTGGACCTGAGGAAGTGGACAGGGTCCTTAGAACTGTGAGCTCGGCCACCTGCTCTTTAGATCCATGCCCTTCCTGGCTGGCCACAGCCTCTTGGGAGGTGACGTGCAGGTGGATTCTGGTGGTGGTGAATTCATCCCTGAGGGAGTGGGTTGTCCCTCCACCTCTTAAAGAGGTGTTGGTCCACTCCCTCCTCAAGAAGCCATTGCTAGACCCCACCGTACTGGACAATTTTCATCCAGTATCCAACCTCCCCTTTTTAGGGAAGGTTGTTGAGAAGGTAGTCGCATGACAGCTTCAGAGGAGCCTAGATGAAACAGATTATCTGGAGCCCTTGCAGTCAGGATTCAGGCCCAGGACAGAAACAGCACTGATTGTACTTTTGGATGATCTCAGGTGGGAGAGGAATGAGGGTTAGTGCATGCATCCTTCCTCTTCTTGACCTCTCAGCAGCCTTCGATACCATTGACCATGGTATCCTTCTGGATCAGCTTTGGGAGTTGGGAGCAGGCAGCACGGTATTGCACTGGTTCACTTCCTTCCTCCAAGGCCGGTTCCAGTTGGTGTTGATTGAGAGTGAGAGGTCTAGCTCTTGGCCCCTACTATGTGGGGTTCTGCAGGGCTCGGTGCTCTCTCCAGTCCTATTTAACATCTACATGAAGCCACTGGGTGCAATCATCTGCCACCAAGGGGTGAGGTACCATCAGTATGCTGATGATACTCAGTTATATATCTTCATCCCTGATGAGCTAAGTGATGCTGCTGATGTTCTTTCTCAGTGCTTGGAGGCTGCAGGAGTCTGCATGGGGAACAGGCTTCAGCTGAACTCTGGCAAGACTGAGTAGCTTTGGGGTTTGGGCCCTTCTGTTATCTGGGGATTTACCATCTTTGGTGCTGGATAGGGTTGCACTTCTCCAGACAGACCCAGTGAGCAATCTGGGGGTCCTTCTGGACTCACAACTCCTGCTTGAAGAGGAGGTGGCAGTTGTAGCCAGGAGGTTCTTTGCACAGCTTTGTATTGTGCACCAGTTGCACCCTTTCCTGGATCAGGAGGCTCTACTCTCTGTCACTCATGCCCTAATCACCTCCTGAATGGACTACTGTAATGTGATCTACATGGGGCTGCCCTTGAGGAGTATCTGGACGCTGCAGCTGGTGCAAAATGCAGCTGTGCAAGCAGTTAGATGTGCTCCAAGATCTGCACACATTATATCGCTGCTACACAGGCTGCATCGGTTATCAGTTTGCTTCTGGGTCCAATTCAAGGTACTGGTGATGATCTTTAAAGCCCTACATGGCACGGGGCCAGGTTGAGGGACTGCGTCACCCCAATTACATCCACCCGCCCCATCAGGTTCAGCAGGAGGGGCATGTTACAGGTCTCATCAACCAAGGAGCTTCATTTGGTGGGGCCCAGGAGGAGAGCCTTCTGTGCCATGGCACCCACTCTTTGGAACATCATTCCCCCCAAGGTGAGGTTGGCCCCAACCCTAATGGCCTTCCAGAAGGCCCTCAAGACTTGGTTTTGCCATTGGGCCTGGGGATCCCATGGAAGCGTGGAGCCCATTACATGGTTGGTATAAGTTGAGTGCACTCTTTCCTGTCTTTTGTTATTATAGTTTTTAATTGTTTTTAACTGTTTTAATGGATAAATATTATTTGCTTTTGTTTTAATTGTGTGCACCGCCCAGAGTCATATGCAAGTGAGATAGGTGGTTATAGAAATTCAACAAATAAATAAATCACAAGTGCATGGTTACATGGGCAAACACATATGAGGAACCTCAGACAAGGAAAAAACTAGGGTTCCAGAAAGCTTTGAAAACCTGGCTTTGATCTCAGGCCTGGGGTTGATATTTAGGATTTGTTTAAGGGTCCTGCTTTGTTTTATTGATTTTAAACAATTGTTATCAGATTATTTGAGTCTGGGCTGTCTGATTCTAGATTTTTAGCTGTTTTAATGTTTTTTCTACTTTTGTATGCTGCCCAGAGTCCACTGGAGTTGGGCGGCCAATAAATTGAAATAAATAAATAATAAAATAATAAAATAAAACTGATTGAAGGGGTACACTCTTCCACTCTATAGATCTACTTTTTCCCAACTGGGTGCTTCTCAGATGTGCTAGACAACCTCTCCTATGGCCTGTTGTTTCTTTAGGAGAATGTGAGTAACCTTAACTCAGCAAATTCAAGAACATAAATTAACTTCTTGGTTTCTTGTTATGCCCCTTGTTTCCAGATCTTAACAATAAATGCTTCCTTTTTGAGGATTTGGATGCTTTAGGTCCTGTTTTACCTTTTGAATAGGTATGAAGCTTTACAACTTCTGTAACTCCCAGCCAGCCCAGACTTCGCTCATGCTGATTAGATAGGAGAATACATCTGGTTGGTGAATGACAGCTGGTCTAAACTGTTAAAGCTACCATAATTTCTGATATTCCTAAACAAATTTATATTTATTTATTTTCACACCTTCCTCGCGTGTCACCCCATGATGGTTTTACAATACAACTTTATGCCTCAACAATTAACTTTAATCAATAATAGCATCTGATAAAATAAATAACAAATAATAAAAGCATAATTAAAAAGGGTATGTTTCTCTTTTAAAAAGCCAGTGAGGCAGGTAAGTCTGGATCTCAGTGGGAATAATTCTACCCATTAACCTGGTGGCCCACAAGTGAGCACAAGTCTTCCTTCCCTCCCCTGAAGGGAGATAAGAATACTATTTCACTTCTACCAATTTCCACCTTTAAAAGCACACTGGCTTACGCAGCAGGCTTAAGCAGTTTGCTTAACTCAAATGGAAAACATATCTACTTGGCCTCCCTAGCTGGCAGATGGCTCTGCCCTTTCCCATGTGGGGCCTTACCAGGGTGCCAGTAAAGTGAGTGGGTGCCTTATACCAGGCTGTGCAGCTGTTTCCATTCTGACAAACATAGAGATGGTCCATGAGGCCATTGCAGTAGAGGAAGCATTTCCCTGTTGAAGAGAGGAAAACAAAAAGGAAGGTGCTCAGAGGCAGGGGGAATTTACACTGAACTGCCACTGCCAAGTAATCTACTTCTAAATTACTCCTGCCTCCCATATAGTCCCTCAAACATATAGCTGTATTGATCTCATACGCTCCCAACACTAGCCATCTGAGCAGAGAACACAAGTACCCTGTGCAGAATTTAGCACCCCTGAAATTAAAGTGACCAGTTTCATGATTCTAGCCTTCACAGGAGCAGGAAAAAACTTGCAAACATGCAGCCTGCAGCTGGGGTTCTCTTAAAAGCAGGAAGGAGAAAGAGCAAGGGGGATTTTTGATGCTCAGGGATTAGGCCTTCAGCAACATGCATAGCTCTTTCTCCAACTGAAGAGAGCTGGCACTTACCTAGGGTTCAAATTCAGATCAGCCATGGTTACGGCATGATTTCAAGCATATCATACTCTCAAGTCTATTTACAATAGGGCATTAAAAGAAACTTCCCTGAATAAAAGCCCACTGCCAGCACAGATATAGATGGCTATTCTATTATTACCAGTGACAAGGAAAAAGAGACCCAGCAGCAACAAAAACTCATATCCAAGAGTCAGTTATAGGAAAAATGAGAGCCTGCTTACATGTTGTGATCAGATTTCAAAACATAATTTCTATTTCTACTTTGCCCAGATGAACAGAACTCACGTCTTGATGACTTATGATAATTCAGATGATGATGACTCCTGAGGAAGCTAGGCCCATATCTACAGGTTACACAAATCTGCTTATTCAAAGATAGAAGAATTTACAAAATTTATCATAGCTGAAGCAGAGCAGGAAGGATTATTCCCCGGGAAGCGGCAGCCTGCTTTGTGGCTTCCCAGACCTACTGGGATGCCAGATGTCCTCAAACATTAGTTTCAGCTGATTAATTACAGGCTAAATCAGCTTACTCCATGCCTGCATCATCCACAGCAAGCATAAGACCCCAGCATTTTTTGAGTTCTATTGAAAATTTCCTTTGGCTTTGTGAATTGCCATACTGATACCAAGAGTTATCTAGTGCTCATAATTGAGATATTACTCTTTGCTTGTTCACCACCTTCCAAACTAAATTTATCAGTGTATATTTCTTAGCTGTCATAACCACGATCTGTAGAAATCATTTATTTTTCAAGTGCTATTTGTGCTAATAGTGCATAGCACATTGCATGTTGTGTAGCCCATCTCAAAGCATTTAGAATTTTCCACCAAAGCAAATGCAAGGGGCCCAAGAACAAATCCCAACACATGTTTAAGAGGCTGTTTCTATGAAAAGGAAAGAGCATCCATGCAGGATGATATCTTCTGGACAGTTGCCCTTGAAAAATCACCAATTCCCTAGAAGGCAACAATACACCAAGCAAGCCAAACTGTGGCTTTTTAAAATTAAGAACCCAGATTGGATGGAAGTCGAACAAGTAATGAGAAAATCATGATTTATTGAAAGAAAAACAAGGAGAAATACACAGAAGTTGAATAAAATGCCTGTGAACCTCATTGGTTGAAGATAGAAAGGGGAAGAAATAATTACCCATTATCACTACATGCAATGAGGAATGTATTCTATGCTACTTGATGTTTAGTTTCACATATAGATAACACTTAGCTTTTCATTAAAGCATTCTAGCCTATGTGATTACAAAATGTAAATATTTCTATAGTGTTTCCTTTCCTCTGTTGGCAATAAAGATGAAAGGAGAAAGTTAAGGTTAAAGCTGAAAAACCTCAGATCACGGAGCAAGATTTGTCTGAGCAAAATCTAGCATCTGTGAAGATATCTGCATAATTATTTCTGATCAGAGAATGCAAATTTGCAGAAAGATATTTCATGCAAAATGCATACTGACCCAATCGCATGTCTCTCAAATTGAGGAATTACATCAAGGAAGAGAGGAAGCTGCAAATCTTCTACTCAAAAAAAAATTAGATAAGAGAAGGCTCTATTGTAAGAGAGTATGATGCTTTGGAAGTCCCTAACCTATGTAATGGCAGATTACAGCCAGTAAAGGCAGCAGATCAACTCTTAAACTACTACAGGGGAAGGAGACATTCTCTCAGAGGTAACCTATTGGAGGCTGAAGAATGGTAGGGCTGAAGTATGCATTTTTAATACTCTCTTCTGCAAACTAAAGGGATACATTGCTTCTACCATACATTTTAACTGATCTTTTACATCTGAAATTAATATGAGTATCACATGCAATCTGATTCAAGGCTGCAAAATACTTTTTATTGAATTAAGAGTTGAAGTAGAGGCTTCCAGGGAAGAAATGGCCGACTGAATATGGCTCTATTCTTTGCGGAGCCGATGCCCACAGCAATTAGAGGAGTTGGCCTCGGTCCAGCTCTTCAGAATCATCTCCAGATAAAGGAGATCAACAGGATCACCCACAGGTACTCCTTACAGGGACTCCCTGTGAAGAGGTTACAATCTAGCAATCTCTAACGGGTGGAGTGCTCTGGGAGTCGAAGGAAATATCGAGCCCAAGCCGTGGTGCAGAGCCTTCAAACGGACACTAGATTTGCTTTACCTCCTCTTTTAGCTAACATTGTAAACTGCTTATTTGTGATTTATTTGGCAATTAACAACCTCCTGAAAGACAAGTTGCTGTACACCGGGAGAATTTCCTACTATCCTGGGAGAAGACTAAAGTAAGTTTAAAGATAAAAAAAAAATATTTTAATGTTTGGAAACAGCGAAAGGGAATTAAGAATGTTGACTGGGGACAAGTAAGAGGCCAGATGGATTTGAAACAGCTTTTTAAAGGATTGTTTTAAATGTTTAAGAAAATACAGTAAGTGAACTTGGATTTAATTGCAAGAAAATCTGCCCTGGGAAAATTTGGCTTCTGAAAATAAAGAGCCTTCAAGAAGGAATGGACACTAACAATGTTTCTCTTTTAACATAATAGAGGGATATCCTTCTTCCAAAGAACAATTTTTAGCTGTTTGGAATCAGTGTGTCCAGGAACTATTTGTAAAATTGGGGCTAACAGAGGTTGTAGAAGAAGAAAAGATTCTACTGGACAAAACAGCAGTGGAGGACGACTTGAATAAGGATTCTAAAACAGACTTTAAAAAAATACCAGATTATAAGAGAGACATGGAAGATATGGGAAAAGATGCTGTGGATCTGAAGATGGACTCAAAA